CAATCGTGAACGTTAAATTAAGATTAGTAATTTATAATGATGCTTGACCGTAGAAAAATATGAAATCACAAATTCGTCTCGTCTCGTCTCGTCTCGTTCGTTATAAATATTTTGGCTCGCACTAACGAAATCATCTAGTTTAATTATTATTAATGTCACGTGCTTCAAATGCAGTCAGCTGCAACATCGAATCATCGATGTTTCTTATTAGCCAAGACCAATTATGTAAAATGCTCGATAGCCACCTACTGTATAGGCTCGACTAATAATTAATTAAAGCCTCGAGCAGACGATACATCGCTACGGGCATTCCTTCAAATTTATCGAAATGCCATTTCAGGAAAAGGAAAAGGAAAAGGAATATTAGTGATAAATGGATTAAAAGCCGAATTAGCTGCAAGTTTATCTTTACGCGAGGCTTCGAGATATATAAATTGTTAGTCATAAAGCTCCCTATACAATACTTACGTATCAAAGGCGCGAATAAATTCCCCGGCAACAAACAAGCACAATTTTCATAACTGACGTACGATCATTTTGCATAATACGCCAACGCACGTAATGCCTCGGACAATTATATCGATTTTGAAATCAAGCCAACGAGCTTCGTGATACTAAAAATGAATTAAGTCTCAGGGACGATGGTTCAGCCCGCAGTCTCTAATAAATACTTTAATGATATTTGAGTTAAATATTTGTCGATCCCCCCACCCCTACACACACCCACCCACCCACCCCGTGCATATACGAGTGAATAATGAGTTCGGTCTCGCCCATAAGCGACAACTTTATAAACGGCGAAAGTGTAATGACTTGGCTTTACCGAGAGCGATTCGTCGTGCGAGCGGACAGGATTCTTTTTGGCCTCTGTCCTCGGCAACGATGACTGCACAGCGCCGTTTTTTTGCCAGCCAAAAGACTCTCCTAACGGCTCATCCACTCGCTTCTCGCCGAGATTTCAGTTGCGCGACGAACGACGTCAGTCTCGGTGATAAAAATGAGAGGACCGGGAGCAGTAAGGAAGACGAGGCAGAGGAAGCCAAATCACCAAAGGAGAAGAAAGAAATGGCGCGAGATTCACGCAACGACCAGTGAGAAAGAGAAAAAGTAATAAAAAAATATATATATACATATACATATCTATATATATATATATATATATATATATATATATAAAATGAAATAAAAATAAAAATGAAAATGAAAATGAAAATGAAAAAAGACGATACACAACTGCGGGGGTGGGTTGGTGGTGACTGGAGGGAGTGGATGGTTGGGAGAGGGTGGAGGGTGAAGGGGAGGGGCGACTGAATGAAAATGAAGTGCTTTCAGAATAAGACGATAAGCAGTGTGTTTATTGCTTCAATAAAATCCCACTGCGGAAACGCGTGGATGACGCGTAGGTGAAGTATTTGCAGTGTGACGGCGTAAAAGTCCATTCCGAAAACTTATGGAGTTGACCTTCCTCTCTCTCTCTCTCTCTCTCTCTCTCTCTCTCTCTCTCTTCCCACTGCTCGTTTACTTTTGATTGTACCTGTGTACCCCCCTCCCCCCCACTAACACCTCTAGCCCCTCACGACCACACTGTGGCCCAACCCCGTCGTCATCACTCACGTACACTCGGCTCTCACAACACTTAGGCGACTGCATCTCTCGCTTCTCCTCGCTGTCCTGTATCTACTCGCAGTCGTATTCGCTGTTTATGTAAGCCAATAAAGCACCTCGAAAGAAAAGGAGTCCGCTCTTTTGCGAGGGAGTTACGGGAAAATATTCAATTTCCGAAGTTGAACGTTTGGTGGGTTCGCGCTTACGTGTGCGCCCTTACAGCGCTGATCTATCAGTTCGCCACGACACTGCACGAGATAGGAGCATGAGCGGTCCAGGAGTTTTCCGATACCGCTCACAGATAAAATTAATCGGGCTGCAAAAGGAGAGCCGAAGACCACTTGGACAGCCATGATGAAAAAACCGTGTAAAAGACCGTTGCTAATGCATTTACAACTACGCGAACCCTAAGATTTAGTTTAAGCTTTAGACATTATGCGTCTTATAATAAGGAACTACGATATCCTACGCAACTTAAATTTCATTTTCACATACAAATTTGTATCCCCTCGATTATTCAAGAAAATAAAATCTTAATTAACCTTACCGATTAACTAATTAACCGATACCAATATTACATTTAAAAATATTTACATATTTCTGCCTTTATAGTGCAGAATCTATAATTTAATTAAAAAATCTCAGAGCGTTTAAATGCGTTATCATTATTAAAATATCACGAAATTACTACTTTCACAATATATGAGGATAAATTGCATATGAATTATCATCTTAAATAATATAACCAGATAAACTCGTAAATCATAGTGATGTTATTAACTGCCTGTACTTGTGCGAAATAACTTAAGTCCTGGTAACACTAAACCTGTATCAAAATTAATAGAAATCATTTCTGATGTTGACTTTCTGGACTTCCCAGTCTAGATTATACTTTAAAGATTTTTTATATAAATGGTGAGTAAACTTGTCGGTACAGTATTCGATTTATTCAACTAAAGGCAATTTGAATTTCAAATAAACAGCTTAATTGTTAATGATTAAATATAATAATAATATTATATGTAATAGTTTTAAAAATACCTTGACTAGGCGGACAAATATAAATACGGCAAATATAATTGAATATTGATTAGTTTTTATATCGTTTAAGATCGTAATTACGAATCATATTTCATTTAGAAGTCCAAATTATTAATATAAATAATAGAAATATAAATAATAGAAGATTATTTTTCCTGAATAAAGAAAATATTACTGTCACGGTAAATGGGCGTAATTCGGAAAAGATGATAAGAACTATTTAAGTTTGAAAGAAATATGGATACGTACAGAAGAGTATAGAACGAAAGGAGAGACGAGGATGAAAGAGAATGAGAAGAAGACAGTGAGAGAGAGAGAGAGAGAGAGAGAGAGAGAGAGGGAGAGAAGGCCAGTAAAGGTGGCAAGGACAGTAGATATTCGCCAGGACGGAGGCTGCGGCGCGCCGAGTCAGACGAGCCACTGTGAGGGCCCAAAGATTGTATCCGTGTCTTGTTTTTATAGGCTCACCGCGGAACAGTCGGGCCCGGCAATGTTTTCTCTCCCTGTTTTCTTCTTCTCTCTCTCTCTCTCTCTCTCTCTCTCTATATATATATATATATATATATATATTTCTCTCTGTCACTGTGTCTCTTTCGCGTGCGCGCGCGAGCTCCCTATCCATGTCTCTCCGTCTCCTTCTATCCCTCTCTCTTGTTCTTGCAGGTAAAATATAATGCGATGCACGCGGGCAAGAGAAAGGAACAGCAGATCGAGATGGTAGACAGAAGGGGGGAGAGGCGCGCGAACGCGAGCGCGGTGGGAGAGCAGCGAGTTAAGTACATCGGACGAGAGACCAAGGGAGAAAGAGAAAGAAAAGAAGAAGGGAGAGAGAGAGAGAGAGAGAGAGAGAGAGAGAGAGTGTGGCAGGGAGAGTGAGACAGTGAGAGGGCGGGAGCGAGCGATAAAGGGAGAGGATGTGAGGCGCGCGCGCGCGCTCGCGTGTGTGTGTAAGATAGAGAGGGAGAGAGAGAGAGAGAGAGACCAGTCGGGGTCCGCTCGGATTCTCGAGGCCCGTCGAAACGTTCGCCAGTCGCTCGGAGAGTCGTGCAAGTGCAAGATCACCGCGGACTTTTTTCGAACGGTGAACGCGCGAGAAGGAACGCAAGCGATCTCGTTCGTATAAAACGAGCTCTTGTCCAATCGATTTTGGGCCGCTACTGGGCTCAAGAATCGGTGACAGTAAGGTACAGAATAGGTACGGGAGCGAGGCTGAAAAGAGGAGCGCCCCCCGGGACGATCGTATCGCGACGGGTTGACAAATGCCCAGCACAAATCAAACCGTCGATCCTCCGTGCGCCAAGTGAAAATGAGATCACTCGTTGGCTCACCTTGCGGCGGTTGATGCTGCCGCGAGGCCCTGAGAGGCAAAGGACCATAATGTGCAATGTGAAGATAAAGCTCGGCGCCGTCTCGATGGATCGATTGCAATTACCACTTGGCAGCCGTCACTGAGTAATTTAGCAATTACGCGCGGACGCGCGTAAGGTTCCACGAACGTCGCACAATGCAGGGCAATCCCGCCTTCCTCGCGATCCTCCTTGGCACGATATTCTGCGTGCTGGGCGCCTCGTTAAGTCGCGCGGTCAGATACAAGGCGCCCGACGAATGCGAATGGTTGACGGAAGGCGATGGCGAAGACGACGTGTCGCTGGTATGCCGGCTCAGGACAATCAACAGCGAGCTGGAGAACACGAATTTCAGTGTTATCCAACCTCATCACACGGTGCGGCTTCGACTCGAATGCAGCGACGCTCTGTTTTATCAAAGTTCCTTGAGCGCCGGTAGCTTTCGGCCACTGGTCGAATTGAAAGAGCTCGTAATCGAGTATTGCAAGATCGGTAATTTGTCGGACGATGCGTTCCGGGGACTGAGGGAGCTGAGGAACCTCACGGTCCGGACGTACAATACCGATTGGTCGTCTATGACACTCGAGGTATCGCAGCGAGCTTTTACGGAGGAGCTGAGCCAACTTGAGAAACTTGACTTGAGCAACAACAACATGTGGAGCCTGCCGGAGGGGTCGCTCTGTCCATTATTTAATTTGGAGCTTCTGAATCTGACGAAAAATCGATTGCGCGAGGTGTCGAGCTTCAAATTCAACTTGGGCAGTAGATGCGTGTCCAACCTGAGGATACTGGACCTGAGCAACAATAGCATCGAGTCATTGCCGTCCGCGGCATTCTCGGGCCTCACGAGGCTGCATTCATTAAACTTGAGGAGCAATAACATCGCTTTTATAGCCGACAGAGCGTTCGAGGGCATGGGTGTATTAACGACGATCGAGCTCACGAACAATCGGCTTGGTAGCTTGCCGCCAGAATTGTTTGTAGATGCGCGAGATATTAAAGAGATACATATCCGTAATAATACGCTTGCGATCCTGCCGCCCGGCATATTCAGCGAGCTTACGCAGCTTTTGGTTCTGGACATGTCGATGAACGACCTCACGGCCGAGTGGATTAATTCGGGGACGTTCGCGGGATTGGTACGACTGGTTGTTTTGGATCTCGCTGACAATCAAATAACTCGCCTCGAGTCCTCGGTATTCCGTGACCTCTACAGTCTGCAAATCCTCCGGCTCCAAGAGAATCTCATCGAATTCTTGCCCGAGAACACGTTCGCGGCTTTATCGAATCTCCACACGCTGGTGCTGAGCGATAATAGGCTGTCTACCATCGACGCCACGACGTTTAGCGGCCTCTACGTGCTGAGCCTGCTATCCCTCGATAATAATAGGCTGGGCGATTTGCATCCGACGTCGTTAAGGAACGCGTCCTCGCTGCAGGATCTTCATTTGAACGGGAATCGGCTGATGGCGATTCCGGAGGCACTGAGAGCCACGCCGCTGCTACGCGCTCTCGACCTCGGCGAGAATCTCATCTCCGGCATACCCAAAGGCACCTTCGATCACATGACTCACCTAGGTGGACTGAGACTCATCGATAATCACATCGGCAATCTCACTAAGGGAATTTTCGATAAGATCAGGGATCTCAACATCCTCAATCTATCGGGCAATCGAATCCAATACATCGAGCCCGGTGCATTCGACGAAAATCTTAAGCTCCAGGCTATTCGGCTCGACGGCAATCGACTGACCGACATTAGCAACCTGTTTACGAAATTGCCAAATCTCGTTTGGCTCAATGTCAGCGATAATAAGCTGAAGAGCTTCGATTACGCCATGATACCGACCGGCCTGCAGTGGCTCGACATACACGCCAACGAGATTACCGAGCTTGGCAATTATTATGAAATCGAGTCGCAATTGCAGCTCAATACGTTCGACGCAAGTGTAAATAAGCTTACGGAGATAACGGGCAGCTCCATACCAACCAGTGTCGAGATGCTTTATTTGAACGACAATCTGATAACGCGCGTGCAAAGCTACGCTTTCTTCAAAAAGCCCAATCTGACGCGCGTGGACTTGAAGGGCAATCGTATACGCAGAATCGAGCCGTACGCGCTGCGAATAACGGCCGTGCCGCCCGAAAAGTCGCTCCCTGAATTTTACATAGGCGACAACGATTATCTCTGCGACTGCACGATGGAGTGGCTTCAGCGCGTCAATCGCCAAGGCCAGAATCGTGTCCAGCCTCGCGTAATGGACCTCGAGAGCATCTATTGTGAATTGCTTTACGATCGCGAGCGGCTTTACGTGCCGCTTGCCGAAGCCGCGCACTCGCAGTTCCTCTGTAAATACGACACACACTGTTTCGCGCTATGCCACTGCTGTGACTTCGACGCCTGTGATTGTGAAATGACCTGCCCGACCAATTGCACGTGCTATCACGACCAAACGTGGACTGCCAACGTCGTCGATTGCTCGATGGGCGGGCACGTGGGCAAGCTGCCGGAACAAATTCCAATGGACGCGACGCGCCTGTATTTGGACGGTAATGATTTGCGCGCCATAGCTAGTCACGCATTTATCGGACGGAAGAAGCTCAAGATGCTCTTTCTCAACGCATCCAACATCGAGATCGTTCAGAATCGATCGTTCAATGGCCTGCGAAATCTCGAGGACCTTCACCTCCAAGACAATGGCTTGCGGGAACTGAAGGGCCACGAGTTCATCGGCCTCGACGCTCTACGCACGTTACGGCTCGAGCGCAATCGACTTTCGGTCATATCCAACGAAACTTTCCTCACGCTACGCTCCCTAATGGCGTTACGCCTCCAGAACAATCGCTTAACGACCCTGGCGCTCTGGTCACTGCCGCCGAGGATCGAGGTCACGCTCGCCGGCAATCCCTGGACCTGCAATTGCGAGTACATACACGAGTACCGCGAGTGGGCTACGGGTTCGGGAGTGCGCGTTACCGATGCGATGGAGCTGCGGTGTGTGCATAATGGCTCCGCGGCGATTACCGCCACGGCCGACAAGTCCTTCCGCGACGTTAATGACTTGGGTGAAAGTGATGAAGGTTACGGGTTCTCCCTCGTGACCGGGAAAGGCCTCGATGCTAATGGCTCGATTTGCGCGGATCTGGAGAGCATCGAGAGCGGCGTTGCTGGCAATCTCACCAAGACCATTATCGAGAGGCAGGCCCTCGAGGACTATTTGCCGCTCCTCGTTAGCACGCTCGTCGCCTTTCTCCTCCTCATGCTTATCTGCATGCTCGGCTTTTTCTTCCGTCACGAAATGCGCGTGTGGTTCCACTCGCGATTCGGCGTCCGGATCTTCTATCGGCACGCGGACGCCGATAGGGACGATCGCGATAAGCTATTCGACGCCTTCGTAAGCTACAGCTCCAAGGACGAAGCCTTTGTTGCCGAAGAGCTCGCTCCCGTATTGGAAATGGGTAGCCCATCCTACAAGCTCTGCCTACATTATCGGGACTTCCCGGTGGGCAGTTTCATTGCCGACACCATAGTCCAAGCCGTGGAATCGTCGCGCAGAACGATAATGGTGCTGTCGGAGAACTTTATTAAATCCGAGTGGTGCCGCTTCGACTTTAAGTCGGCGCATCATCAGGTGCTGAGAGATAGGCGACGTAGACTTATACTCGTGCTCGTCGGCGATGTGCCGCAACGCGATCTCGATCCGGATATCAGGCTCTACCTCAAGACCAACACCTATCTCCAATGGGGTGACAAACTCTTCTGGGAGAAACTGAGATTCGCCCTGCCGGATGTGCCGAACAATCAGCGAGGCACAACGCAGAGAATACAGCCGCCGCCGGTGCGACGACAGCACAACAACCAAACGTCAACGTCGGCGGGCGAGAGGAATCGCACCCTCGCCGTCCACATCTAATGCAATTCGTGCTCTCTTTATTCAACTACGCCTATGTTCTATCAAATCCTTTATCGAACACGCACACGCGCACACACACACGCACACACACACACACACACACATATATATATATATATATATATACGTATACATACACATATTTTTTTTTTGTTTTTTTTTGTTTTGTTTTTTATTAATATTAATATTATTATTATTATTACTATTATTACTATTAGAATTATTATTACTACTATTATTAAAATTACAATTAAAATTACTACTACTACTGCTACTGCTACTGCTACTGCTACTGCT